TTGTCGTTGCTCGTTTGTTTGTTTGTTATATTGTTGCGATGATTATCGTAGTCTCTCTCTCTCTCTCTCTCTCTCTCTCTCTCTCTCTCTCTCTCTCTCTCTCTCTCTCTCTCTCTCTCTCTCTCTCTCTCTCTCTCTCTGAAACAACTTAATAAGAGAGTGCAACATGCGTGGACGACCCATGCAGAGTTCACTCAACGGTCACCAGCTGAGGTTATAATCAACGATTTGTTAAAATCGATAATTAAGTCTGTTATTGAAGATTTCACCTTTCTCGCTAAGATACTAACCACGTATTTTTTGAGTGGTGGGGTTGGGCTGGTTCTAATTTAAAAAAATCAAGCAGTCAAGGAGCATCAAATACTTATTCTTCCTTAGATTAATAGAACACACAAACCTGTTTTATCCAGTTATGTTATAATGAGATAAAAGAAACGAAAATATCCCCGCGCGTTAGAAAATCCCAACCATCTCCACCACTACTACTGCTATATCGAATACTGCTTCTGCACTTGCATTATAATCGATAAACTGACCCGATATACAGACTAAGGTTAGGTATTCTGAATCAGCTAAGTGCGTATAGTCTAATAAACTGTCAGTGACCTGTGTGTTTTTATCGTTGCCGTATGCAGTAAAGGTAAATGCATGCAGGTTGTTATATCTCCTCACATGTACTTCACGTGTTAATATTTGACAATGAAATAGAACCAATTTGTTTTTGAAATTTTATAACCACGTATCATGCATGAGGTATCTCAACGGATACAGCTAAAGTTACTTTAAATAAACATCCATCAACGCTTAATATAAACTAAGAAATAAATAAGGTAATTTTTTCAAGTATGATTAATTTATAAACTAACATAGATAATGAATGTCTCAGGCCAAGTATGTCCATTACGTGCCCATTATATTAAGAAAGTGACAGATAAAGGCGACTCATTTCTGATGTAAACATGACTAAGGGAGTTTTGTAAAATTACCAATAACTTTTCCATAAAAATGAGAGAACCATATAAAGCCGTATAATCATGCTATAATACCCTTTACTCTACTGTATTTCACCTAGGTCTAACACTTTTAATCAATTGTTAGTCTAGCACAGTGCATACTGCGCTGAAATGACTAATGCAATGTGTCGTTCAACTCAGAGTGTTGTTAAAGGGATAAATTCAGTTGTTTAAGGTGGTACTGAATTTAACGTGGTTTAGAAAACACATACACAATTCCTAAATTATATTGAATAATTTTATAACTATGTAAATGATATACATCTTTATTTCCTGTTAAAGTTAGGAGTTGAGATTTCTGTTAAGGGCAATTGATAATACGAATTGGGGTAACAGATGGGTGGGTGTCGTATAGTCAAATATCAAGTATACTACGAACTAAGTTAAAAGTCATATACTATTAACATAGAAAAACGCAAATTAAAGGTTCAGGGGAAATCTGCTTTCTGGAAAAAGTATATATATATATATGCTAAAATCGTCAATTTAATATTATATTTTACATGCAAATAGATCACGACAATGATATAGCATTGAATCACTGCATCACTGCATTATAATTATCGCTTTGCATGAAGACAAATTAGGACGCAATTAACGTTACATTTTGCATATACATTTGATCGTGCGTACAATGCAGGTGGAAAACATTACAATGCATATTAATGGGGACCGCCAATATTGGTCTTTATTCCGTCAACCCGGTCACTTTCCAGCAGTCCTAATATACGCATATCTGTAAGCCAATATCTATCACTTTCCGTATTGAATGTTCGGTTGAAATCTGTACTATAAAAGCAAACTGAATTACAAAACCGTATTGCACGATTTGACTTTTTTTTTAAAAATAATCAATAGGGAAAGTTGATGCTAGTATTATTCAAGGATGAGTTTTTTTTGGTTAGAAATATAGGACAGAGGAAATTCTTATGGGGACGAAATATTTTTTTCCTAGTTATCTATATTGATTTTAATATCATTCAGTTGAACTGTAGAATTTATAAGCTTGATTATATATATATATATATATATATATATATATATATATATATATATATATATATATATATATATATATACACACACAGCATATACATATACATATATATATATATATATATATATATATATATATATATATATATATATATATATATATATATATATATATATATATATATATATATATATATTGTGACTAACAGTGTTGGTCAATTTTGTGGGTCTTTACCGCCTTGTAGAGTATGATTGGCCCGCCCATACCACGATCCATTTCCCTTAGTGGGCATGAACTACCAACCCGTTCCTCTAAGAAACGAACCCATTCACCCAATCTAGACATGCAGGGTTTGCCAATTTTAAGTAGTTTTAAAGTGGTTATCTTTTGTTATCGGGGTTTTGTTCTTTTCGTGATTTTTACGTGGTGTTTCAGATGAGGATTATACATGTCTGTCTGTTCCCCATGGCATAAAGGTATTCCAGATGAGAATTACACATGTCTGTCTGTTCCCCATGGCATAAAGGTATTCCAGATGAGGATTACACATGTCTGTCTGTTCCCCATGGCAGAAAGGTATTCCAGATGAGGGTTCCACATGTCTGTCTGTTCCCCATGGCATAAAGGTATTCCAGATGAGGATTACACATGTGTGTCTGTTCCCCATGGCGGAAAGGTATATCAGATGAGGATTACACATGTCTGTCTGTTCCCCATGGCATAAAGGTATTCCAGATGAGGATTACACATGTCTGTCTGTTCTCATGGCATAAAGGTATTCCAGATGAGGATTACACATGTCTGTCTGTTCCCCATGGCAGAAAGGTATTCCAGATGAGGGATACACATGTCTGTCTGTTCCGCATGGCGGAAAGGTATTTCAGATGAGGATTACACATGTCTGTTTGTTCCCCATGGCGGAAAGGTACTCCAGGATATTATTAGGTAGCACATCGTTAACTTTTTTGCTACTCGTTGTAGGAATTCGGGATATGTTCGCGGTCCTTTAAGAGTTGTGTTTCACAAGAACTAGGCGTCTTTTGTACTTATATTGTGGCAGTCGTTGATAATCTGGTGGGGTCTTTCTGAGATTGGTCGATTTGGAGAGGTAATGCCACCTGCTTGGTAACTAGATAAGAACTTTACAAAGTTTATGGTTTATAGGGTTTTTCTGTCCCCTGCTTTGTTACTCGGAAAGAACCTTACAAAGTGTATAGTTTACAGGTTTCTTTTCCAGTCTTTAGTCTTGATATGACTTTTGGGTCTTGTGCTTTCACCAGTTTCGGGGAGCTAATATTTCGTCATTATGGTTCTCTCGGGCTAATATAACATTCCCACTGCCATTTTGAATCAATTTTTTGGCTGAATTATACTGTCAATCTAGTTGTTGTCTGGTCTGTTACAATTAGAGTACTAGTTTCAAATGGTGATCAAATGGTACATTTGAATATTAAATCAGTGATATCAAAATGAATTTTCAAGCCAAAATGAAAACTCTAAGCATAGGAGATGAATAGGTTAGTATCATTGAAAAGGGCTTAGACCAGGCCCTTAATGACAGGAATAGGGGCGGCCTAAGGTGTTTTCGCGGCATGAACTTGGTTGTGGCAATGATATCCGCCATCACCTGGTGTCCCCATCCTTCTATCAGGAACTGGATGGGCTAAGCCGGAATGATTAATGCTCTAATCATTTCATTGACTATGTCTATCACTTTAGGAACATATTCCTCCCTTAGTGAGCTAATATCTTAAACAGAGCGAAGAAAATTATCATTGTGTTCTTTTTCTCTCTTTCTTGGCGGCCTCCAGAACGGTCATTAAATCCTTTGTATATTACTGGATTGCCAAGCTATTTTCCATTAGGACTCCATCCCCCACTCCTCAGCCTAGAAAAAAGTAATCGACCAGTTCTATATCTATTTAACCAACTGCTGCTGTGTTTAAGCCGCATTTATATTTGGTTGTGGTGGTTTTATTTCCTCGGCTATGTTCCCAGGTTGGTTTTAACCTTGGTAATTTCAGTTGTTGTTGATGTTGATGCTGCTGGTACCGCCTCTGCTATAGGCAATTGATGCCTTGGGTTTTTCCCGGTTATTACCTTTTAGATTTTCTTGCTTTCTTTCCCTCTTGTCAGGCCCCATCTGAATTGTACTTAATGGTGGTATAGGAGGTAGTGGTGTTCATCTCTGAGATTAGGGCAGAGTTCTAGTTGACTGGGATTCCTTGGTAGGGTCGCTAGATATCTGTCGGTTCTGCGTAAATGTTCGCCCATTCTGTAGACTTATCAACTTATCAGTCTTCATCCCCGTTCCGGTTTTCTTATCTCTTTTTTTGCCGCAGTTCGCGTGACCCAATCAGGAAGTGGGTTGTCCTTTCCTCCTGAACTCTCAAGCTCCAACCCGATGCGAATGCGACTGTCAGGCTAAGGAACTTCCCTGCCCGTATGGCGAGAGCGGGGATTTTTTTTTGTCGCGAGCTTCATGTCTTTTGATAATGAATTGGTGCTCGCTTTGCTCTCTGCCGACTGAATGAACTAAAAGATCAAAGCATGAAAAGAACCGAACTGAACATTGATTATACTCGCATCCTTGTGCGAGTGATTAGTGCCTGCATCGCGTGCTTCTTAATTTATCGTACGGGAGGGAAAGAGAGTTACACTGTCGTACGCGTTTATACACGCACCTTATACTGTTTAATAAGTAAAATGTGTGCGCCCAGAGTTCTAATTAATTTCTCGGTGTATGTGTGTGTACAATTTTGATTTTTAACGTAGCTTTAGGAATTTTTCAGTCATATCGCTACGATGTCTGCAGTGTGGCAGTTTATATTGATGTTTAGCACTAGGGCATCATTCCGCAGACATGTATCATGATGTCCCACCCAGTCACATTATCCTGACACAAGGCCGACAAGTCCTAAAAAATAATCTCTTAATGCTGAGCGCCTAGCGAGCAACTGTTAATACTCTTTTTTAGAAGTATTTGGTTATGACACGGCCGGCGTTCGAACCCGCGACCTTCCGCATGCGAGGCAGACGCTCTAACCACTAGGAAACCGGGCGGAGTGGTCCATCTCGGTGGGTGGGAAAAAAATTACAACTCCATGAGCTACCCGTACTAAAAGCAAACTGCGCGCTCATTCGGGGTTATAATTGATTCAAATTTAATTTGTTGTTTCGTGAGAGTAATAGCCAGCCACCTAACGACGCGTGTATATACGCACGGATTCTGTGCTTTTCTTTGTTTGCGTTTCACATAGAAGCTGGAAAGCGTGCCTGGACTAAAAAGGGAGGGAAAGCCAGCTGCAACGTCAGAAAACGAACTTACTTTTTTAAAATTTTACCCAGCTTTGCTTAAGTCGAGTAATCCCTAATTATCAATAATGAGCAAGCCACACGTGTGATTAGAGTAATCCAATAAGTTAGACATTTTATTTAATATTCATTTTGATGTTTGAATTTTGTGTACATAGCGTACATCAATTCTCCAAAAATGTATGCATAGCCGGGAGTATAAATTATTCTTTTTAATTTGGTATCGCGTAGTTTTTCTCAAATGTATGGTTATATATGTGATATGACCATCAAATAGATCAAATTTGTATTTTAAAAGATTTTTCAAATGTAACTTCAATAAGCCGAAAAGAAAACCCATTACTCAGCAATATATCGGGTCCAGTCCTCGGGCAGGCTGATCCATTCCAGGCGTCCGAAGTGCTGAAACCCCAGGAAACGGATGATAAGCACGGGAGCAGCATTCTCTCCCGAGTTGCTGAACGTCATCGAAATTGGATTCGCACGTCCTGGGAACGTCTGGTATAATCCATCTGGTCTCCTCTCCTAGACTAACTGCATGGCCGCCTCTTCTTTGCAGAACGGTTGCATCTTCTAGTTCGTTCTGGTGGGTTTCCTCGCTGACTGCTCTTTCCTGGCCTTCTACACTCCTGGACTATCGACAACAGCATCGGTCTACTTTCCGATGGTAGTTCGGTAGTTTGTAAAGTTCGACTTCGGTGGATGCGGTAGGATGGTCAGCAACTGTGTGCATACAGATGGCCGTCATTTTTCGGGCTAGTCGTTAATATCTTTGGCGTCTTAATTTATCGTCTGGTAGATATGAGGGCCACAGTTCGCCGCTTTAATGTTTTAATGTGTGCACCACACACTTCTTGATTGTAATGTATTGTCTCAACCAAGAAGGGAAAGGGGACAGTATATCTGCCTCGACACCACCTGATGGCACTCCTTGACCCTGCGGTCTTGGGATCTCCTAGGTTGAAAATTGTGAGTGTCATCTTGTCGCAATGTTAGGAAACATGAATATCATTGCTATTTTGGTCAGTAGTAACATGAGTAGCGTTCATTCTGATAAAGACGAAAATGTCGCCTTCCACCCTGTGATCATTAGGAAAGTAAACGGTTATAAAAGGGTTCCAGATCGAAATATATCGTCTGTATTGATGACATTGGTTTGAACGTCTTTCGGGTTTATATGTGGAGGTTCATATTTAGCTCACACTATATGATTCCAAGAAGGCGATGTAAAGACGATGAAGTTCCCAACTATCCATTTATTTGTGGCTATTGTTTGCTCTATGATCGTGTTCCAATTTTTACAGATAATGATAAGTTCACATCTGACATTTTCCTTCAAAATGCATGTCAAATTAGTCTAAAAAAAGCTTTGTCTCTGCTGCAAGAAGGCTTTGATGTGTATCATCTGCAAATAAGTTAAAGGAGGTTAGGAGTGGTCACAAAAGTCTTTATATTACTTTCTTCAAATATTCTCTTCTGAGATTAAGGTCGGTGCCTCTTTCAGATACTTTTCCAACATCTCTTCTTGAATCAAACACTGGTCTTGTTGCTTCTAACCAGGATGATTGATTTGATATTCACAACAATGTTCCAAGCCAAGGCACCAACAACACATCATAACAGTATTTTGTCTTCACATATGGTTGTTGGTGGATGCATCTCCTATCTCAATCGGTTCTTCGTGCTCAATACTTTTATTCTAACAGTTAATGATCATTTTTCTTGAGCGCATGATTTCCAGAGTATTATCCAATTCTACACACAAGATGACGTAGATATTTTACTTCTGAATACTGAAGACATTCAGTGTGAAGCGGGTACTTAATATAAGCTGACATAAACTGTGTAGATACTGTTATCTGCTAGGGATTGGCATTGAGTATCAACTGATATTCGATACACATGGAAAACATCATTGTAGGAAAGCTTCAAGGCAACAGCCTGTCCTTAATTATACTGGTCAGATGTTAACAAGGCTCAACAAACTGACTATCTTATATACATTTATCCGTTACAATTTTAACTTATGTCCTTTAGCCTAGCATTTCTGCTATGACATGAAGAACAGTAATAACTTGAAAAATTACAAGAGTATGATCTTAAGTTCGTGTACGAAGATTACACAAGAGTTAGTTATCAGATGTTTTTACTTAAAGCATGCCAACCTTGAAGGAACTCAGACATACTTCCATGGCTTTAACGACTTTTACACTTCCTAATAATCGTGCTCCCAAATGTTTTAATTTTATATGTTGGAAACACAAATACAATATTTTAATGTCGGTAGATCTGCAGCTGCCCTTCTAATCACTTTAGAGAACATTCAAAATTTGATTAATTTAGGTAATTTATTTTATCCTAGATTGGTAAAGACTAGGACTCATTACGAATTTCTTGTTTGGATATGACCCATTGATGGAACTATATTTAAAGTGTCTGAACCGCAAGGACAAAAGAAAATGTCTTTAGATTTAAATTTAGAAAACTTATATCATCTTTATAACACATCAGGAACTAATTAAATTGTTTGGGGTTTTTTTAAATATAGATAATCCTCACATGCTGTTTACGTTATATTTGCTCAGGACGTTTACAGCTGTTGCATGTACCTCACACTTTAAGCTAGAGTTTAGATAACGGCGATACAATATCTTTAGACCTAAATAGAATGGGTCCCCTAATTATATGATTGAACAAAACTTGGGGACTTGGTGAACAGGTTTCACATAAAAAAATGTAACTAATAATTTTATTTCGAGGAAATAATATGAAAATAAACATGTAAATTTCGTGGTAGACTACAATTTCTTCAAAGTATTTTATTTTGTGACTGTACTCGCTTGATAGTGTCATATGATGAACTGAAAGTTTCGTTATATATACTGTGCTAATTGATATACCGTATTACAGTTAGCAACCCCGCCATTCCAACCTAGCCCACTTCCATCCCGTAGATTTCACAAGTCAAACCTTCTTACCCTCAGCCTTCTTGGATTGAACGTGCGAGTTCAAAAGGTAACCAGTCTTACACGTACAATACGTGCACTACCTATAAACAAGAGTACTCACATGAGTGTTAGCCGAGAATAAACATGTTTCAAAGTAGCGACCGTTGGCATAAGTAATTAGTGCTCAGGTTTATTTTCCGCTGTTTGTATTAGTTCAAAATTAAAATTTTAAAAATAAAAACTTACAGGGAATCAAATGTTTTCATCACAGGAATCTAGCGTTTAATCAAGTGTAAATTAAGTGTTAGTCTCTAACAATCGAAACATGTTTGGTCTCTTTTTTTTTAAAGTTACGACCTGACGGAAATATCCGAGCAATAGAGGCTTTAATGCTCGTCTTTTCCGAATTTTAAGTAAATATTCCTATTCTGGAAATCTGTACAAATTTCATGCATGATACATTTGAAAATAAACAGCTTGGTAAACATTTTAATTTGTGTTATTACTTTCAAGGGTTATTCAGTTAGTGATACAATCGGCTACTTCCACCTTATAGGTAATGCTGAATAGAAAAACTGATTTGCTGTATTAGATTCATGCTATAGTCCTCCGAGATTTATGCAAAGGTACATTAGTGTCTGCTAATTGTATATGTGTAGCTCTTTCGGCATTTCTGAGGCAGTCTATTCGATTAAACGTCATACCCCTGTGGTATCGTGAATGATTTCAGTGTCCTAATGGCTAACAGAGATGTTTGCGCGACTGACTCCATATTAGGTAAAAAATAATAAAAAATTCCGGGGAAGGGGGGTTGGAAGCCCTCACGACGAGTGTCCATTTTCTGTTCCAACTGGTTGTTTTGCTCACCAATTCTAATTAACTACGCATCCTAACACTTAACAAAATTGTCGCAAGAGTTGCATTTATTGAATGCATTCGTTGATTTAACAATAATGATGTTGTGAACCTAGAAAAACTACTAAAATATTTGTCCCAAAGTTTGAAGTGTATGTTTTGAATGATATAAGTGACCTTGACTATCAAACTCATGTGCATACGTACGCACGTATATAGAATGTTACTCATCGTTATCTTTGATACTTTAAGGTGGATTATCACCTTACTAAGTTTGAGTGTCAAGTGATAAGGTGTACATGAGAATCAATGCATCGCGTGTAAACATATTGCGAAAATTGAAGGGCGAAAGCGATGTTAATCCAAATAGTCATTGAGTGAGTGAGAATTGAAGGGGTATAACAACATGATTCAATGGTCAAAGTCAAACACACACACACACACACACACACACACACACACACACACACACATATATATATATATATATATATGTACATAATATATATATATATATATATATATATATATATATATATATATATATATATATATATATATATATATATATATATATATATATATATATATATATATATATTCTGATAAATTAGATTTGATCTCGGCAAATTATCTATCAAACATTATATGATGTCGTTTTAACTTATTGTTATAGTCTTATAAAAAATTAATTTCGAAAGGAGAGATGTAATTAGTGCACAGTCTCTTGCTCATCGTCAAAGTCATTTAGTACCTTGATTATATATATAGCATCTCTGATGAAGATGTGATCAGAAAATATAGTTTAGAATGTCGAACAGCTCATCAAATGGATGAATGATAATATCGATACTATCGATACAATCATATCCTTACTAAATGTTGATGATATCGAACAAATTACAATTCTTAATTAAAATCCGTTAAACAAATGCGCACAATAAT